CAAATGGGGTTGGGCACCCCTGTTGTAGATTAATAGTGTGAATTAAGTGAGGGCTGCCCTTGCAGGGCCAGCACTAAGGGGCCAATGTTTTGCCAATGAGCAAAATCTCAGAGGCCCTGTGCTGGGGGCCCTTAGGCTAGCACTAAGTGGGCCTGTAAAGGGACAGTGCAGGTTTGTTTGCAGGGTCGGCTCTGCCTTGGCTCCTCCTTCCCTCAACTCCACCTGGGACCATCGTCTCTACAGCACCACTGGGCTTCATTGTCCCTCTCGCGCTGCCTTGGTCATTCGTCACTCTGTGGTCCTGCATTATGGTTCTTCTGCTGAGAGTTTCTCCCTGGCCCCTCCATCCTCTGGGAGTCCCTGTTCAGTCTACCCTATGTCCTCTACCTAAGCCCCCTCCTTTTCTGAACTTGCCTTTGTTTGATGGCTTTGGAACATAGATGGTAATGACAGACATAAGGATGCGCTCGTTGATCAAACAGTCCATTGGCTGGGTTGAAAAGGTCCAATGACAGTAGAACCTCTGTTCACAGGTGTCGCGCACAGATAGTAGCCTAATGATAACCCCTTTCGTGCTCTTCCCAATATGGTGACAAACACCATATTTAAATGATAGAATTTGAAGGAAACTGTAAGATATGCGCGTTTTATTTTCAAAATGTTTTGTTATTGACGTGATGAGTCAGACAGCTACTTACACTGCAAAAAAATTATTTCCATAAAAATATAGGCTATAAACATTCTAAAATATATGTTTACCTTTTAGGCAAATTGCATAAATTAGAATAGTGATGTCTCAAAACGCATTTATAGTCCGTATCTCATATTTTCATAACGTATTTCTACCCTTAACTGTGTTAAACATGGTGTCACGTGGATGGAATATGTTTGGAAATTATATGCAGATTACGTTATGCATATTAAAACTAGGCATTGTAAGCTCCATATATGGTTATTTCGGGGAGGAGACGGGGTGGAGATTCATGTACACACAATCTTCCACTGACTGGGTATTACAAAGGGAATTTTGCACAGGTTCTGGCGTACGCATGGCTTTATAAATCTGAAAACTTTTGTACGTACACAAAATCTAGGTTTTGTGTGTACGCACACATTTAGGAAGAAATCTACGTAAAGTTTTATACATGAGGCCCCAGACCCAAAGGTTCCACATCTCCGGACAAGAGTGATAAATCGTTCCCTAAGCCTGAGACAGCAAGTCCATTCTGAGCAGAATCTCCCAAAGAGGCCCCTCTAAGACCAATTAGATTCCACTCCTGGGATGGCCAAAACGGAGCTACTAATATCAGACAAACTTTGTCGTCCCTTACTCTCAGTAGAACTGCTGAAAGCAGCCAATTGATGGGAAAGCATACAGGCTGGTCTTGGGCCACATCAGTGCCAGAGCATTCAGTTCCAGAGGAGATGGAGGAGCCAGAGAAAACCAAAGTAGGCAATGAGTCATCTTACTTGACACAAAGAGATTCACTTCTGCCTGACCGAATATCTGCTATAACATGTTTACCACATGAGGGTGTAACCTCTATTCCCCGGAGCTCAACCCGTGCCTTGAGAGCAAATCTTCTCCCAGGTTCAGATGACCTGGAACATGAATCGCCCTTATGGTCGGTGTCGATAGCCTTGTGGTTAGTGCGGTGACCCGAGTTCAATTCCTGTCTCGAGGTCCTTTGCTGATCCTCCTCTTTGCCCAATGCTTTCCTGTCAGGTCTCTACTGTCCTAGCCCAATAAAGGCATAAAAGGCCATAAATAGAACTTAAAAATGCCCCGATGGACAAACTGTGCCCAGAGTAAGATGTGCCTCGTCAACCTCCATAGGGGACAATAATGTAACCCTGCTTGATGAATCAAATAAACTACTGATGCATTGTCCATCCTGACGAACACATGGCAGTCTCTCAGTTGCAGAAGGAACTTTGTCAAAGTGGGGAACACTGCCAACATCTCTTCCCTCTGGGAAGGAGGTAACTCTTCTATGGCCCTGTTCTCCAGAGGATGAAGTATTTCCTGCCTCAGCACTGGAGCTCCCCAGGGACAAACATTGTAGGGAGAATTCTGTTGAAGTGAGGGGGACCGCACCAAAATTGGATGGTATAACTGAGCGGTATGATTTGTATGACAGAGATCAGCATAGGTGAATCTCACTGGGTAGATGAAACACACTTGACCACTCGCACATGATCTGGGGAGAGAGAGAGCTATAGGGACACATTCGTTGACTCACTCTCCATTGGTTCTAGCTTGGCATCAGAACCCCAAGTGTCTGCTTCATGTGGTGCTGCAGCAACAGCAGAACCAGAGCAGCGGGGCTTAACCAAATGTCATTTTTTCCTCAGAAAGAAGATGAAACTAGAGCGGAGTACCTTTAATTTAAAATTGTCACAATGGTGACAATCCAACAGGCCAGTTAGCGCTGCCTGGGCATGTTTAATCATCAAACATTTCACACAGCTATCATGCTAGACGCACTTGTGGGAACTTATCATGTTCACCCAGAGGAGAGAACTGCTCTGAGGGTGGCAGAGGAACATGATAAATTGACCTAAATTCCTCGGTCTTGCAGATAAACCACTTCCTAAAGACAGAAAATCTTATGGGACAAGAGTGTCCTTTTGAGGCATCGGTGATTTAGTGCCTCAGTAGCCACCGCTAGTACCATCAGCCAATGAATTAGCATCATTCTATACTGGCTTCAGACAATCATGACACCTGGAGGATGTTCCCATAGTGTCAGCTGCTGGCACAGCATCGAGTGAACCTATGAAAGGGAAAAATATTATTTTGTTCCCCTCCATCTAGTTGTATTACAAAGCATCACAAACCATTTAATCATAAAAAAGTGCTCTCTATTCGTCACGTCATGTTCTCATTCCTGTGATGTTTGTTCATCTCTAGTCTTACTGAGAATTGTTGATGAAAGCCTGAGAGCACAGGCTTGTCACCCGAGGAAAAAATATTGCCCACAATTATGATTAGGCTTGACATTATTATGTGTATGGTGTAAGCTGGTTATATGAGCCGGAAAGAGATGATGTGGGACAGTGAACTAATCGTGTCGTTCCACTGTCCTGTGTGATCAGTCCAAATGGGCCAGAAACTATAGGACTGGGAACAATTGCCTCTGGGCATTAACATCAGAGTAAATGCTGCTCTCAAAGTATTTCGTGGTTGTTTTATATAATTATTTTCATCTTAAAACTCTTGAAGTGTGTAGTTTTTGTGCCATTAATGACATTAACACTTTATTTAAAAAGGTATTTTAAGTTGTTATGGTGTAATTACACAAATAAGTACGGAGTAGTACTAATTAACTACACGTACTTCAGGTTAAAGTTAAAGTTAGGGTTTGGTTTATGGTTAGTTGCTTGTAATTATGCATAATTTACTCTTACTGTATACTCTTGCTATAGTAAGTGCATGTAACATGTAACTGTCACATTAAAGTAAAAAGTTACCTGGGTTGATCAAACGAACAAATCAATGTTTTTAAAACATCACAACATTTTTCATTAAGTCAACCTACAAATGACTTAAAGTCAACCTTGCATTAGAATACAAGAAAGGATTTAAATATCAACCATCTGGCCACTGCTGAATACATCCACATTGTATAACTATTGCTTTGTTCTTGAGTCACCTTTTCAAATAAAACTGTATTTTTTCTTCTGTGGCTATTTTAGCATGGTGCTGATTGTGTTATGTGTGATGCAATTTTTACTCATGTAATGCATTATTGTTGAAGTGCCTGTTCTGTTTCAAGTGTTGCTTTGTGTGGGGCTGACATTCATAGACTGCTGTAACAGCATTGACTAACATTAGCTCAACATGAAACCAAAATCTATCCAGACACAGTTTGATTAATTACGGTGTTGTGATTGTTACGCTAAACATCAGTCATCATACATGACAACACCATCCTCTAGTCGTAAAATGTCAATGTTGTGCTATGTCCTAGAGGGGTAAAATTAGCTTAATGAAACTCCGTTTAGTTTACATTACATCAATATACATTTAAATTTTAATTTAGGAGTATTCTGCATAAAATAATATTGCATCTAATGAAAAATGAGCAGAACCAATTTTTGTGTTACTTGTTTATAAAACCATTCTTATTTAAAGGGGTCATATGATGCAATTTCAAGTTTTCCTTTCTCTTTGGAGTGTTACAAGCTCTTGGTGCATAAAGAAGATCTGTAAAGTTGCAAAGACTAAAGTCTCAAATCCAAAGAGATATTCTTTATAAAAGCTGAGTCAACCACGCCTACCTAAAATGGCTCGTTTAAACACGCCCCCACATGTCTACGTCACGATGTGGGAAGATTTGCATAACGCCGCCCAAATGTTCACGCAAAGAAAGAAGGCATAACTTTGATTATCGCTGTAGTTTT